CTTGTGCTTTTTAAATGTATTAAGAACTCTATTATGACGGCTCTTAATACACTTAAAAAGCACAAGTGCAGCAGTGGGGACTGGGTGCAAATCGAGATAGCTGATTCTCGGTTCGCGCCCTGCCCCCGCCCCCAGCCTTCAGTCTTTTAATTATATGAAGAGCATAGCATCTCTTAACACATTTAAAAGGCAAAGCCACAGCTGAATTAGCTCCTTCAGCCAGGAGCTAACCCTGCTGTGGTTCTGCAGTCTTCCTCCTCCCCCTCCCCCCATCCACTAGTCAATTAGCTGATTAAATGCCATTTAACATCCCTACTCCTGTCACCCATTCCAAGCTTCTAATAAACAGAAGCTGCAGACACCAATCCTACCCATCCTGGTTAATAGCCATTGATGGACCTATCCTCCATGAATTTATCTAGTTCTTTTGTAGAACCCTGTCAAAGTCCTTTTCTTCACAACATCCTCTGGCAAGGAGTGCCACAGGTTGATTTTGCATTGTGTGAAGAAATACTTGCTTTTGTTTGGTTTTAAATCTACTACCTCTTTAAGTAAATTTTCTTTATCTACTTTTTCCACACTAGTCATAATTTTATAGACCTCTATCTTATCTCCCCTTAGTCTTAGTCTCCTCTTTTCTCCTACCTTTCTTCGACCACATGTTCCCTTACTGCTCTGCCTGGTTGCTGGTTACTATGGGCCACTGCCGCCTGGAGATAATATTGTAGGGCTCTGTCCTTCCTTGTCCCTCTTCAAGGACCTTTCTCTGGAGCAACTCGTCATTCAGTAAGTTAAGAACCTGCTGCATCTGGGGCTGTGGAAAAGGTTCCTTGAGACATAAAAAGGAAAGGGTTCTACTTCTGGTAGTTTCCTGGTGCTTATCCAGGAAATCCTTTGGGCTATGATCTGGTCTTCCATTCACACATTTAGATTGCATTAAATACTGACCTAGAAAGCTTGTGACGATGCTGGATTTGGCAGAGCTATGTTGCAATCTGCTTTTGAGTTGGGAGCCCACCTCCAAAGATTCTGTTTGTGAGTCGCCTACAGTGCAAAAGACATGAGCAAGTACTCAAAAAGGGAAAAAGGCATTACCCATCTTTTGTAATTGTTGTTCTTTGAGATGTGTTGCTCATGTCCAGTCCATTACCTGCAAAAATTGCATACAAAATCCTACTTCTCCTTTAGTTATCATTATTTCAGTATGCACTTAACTCAGACAGAAGTCAGGTGGTCATCCCAAACTCATGTCCCTAAAACATTTATACTACCAAAGACTGCAAAAGTGGCGAGGAGTCCTGTGGCACCTTATAGACTAACTGAAGTGTAGGAGCATAAGCTTTTGTGGGCAAAGACACACTTCATCAGATGCAAGTCCAAAGACTGTGTGCGTCAATATTTGTAAGCTATATTTATGCTTTATTACTATTGGCCGTGGAGATGGTCATTATTATTAATTTTATTATCTTCTTGAATTTCCTTCTGAGCATTGGAAATTTGGTAAATAGAAACAGTTGTAGGCAACTCCCATAATATCTCATATTGGTTAGTGAAGCCAGCCAGTTAGCTAACCATTCATCTTGCTCATTGTGTCCTTCCAACTGACTCCTTCCTTCCTAGAGTGACACCTAAAAGGCAATTGGCTTCTTTATTAGAAGATTCAGAAGACATCTATATCTTGTATTGCTAACATCGACCTTAGACTATTACCCTCTATTAGTGTGTTTCTCATGAATTAGGGCAGTGTTGCAAATCTAAATTCAATATATAATTATTATGTTATAATAACGCTTATAGCTTATATACTCACGTGTGTGTTGTGCATTTAATTTTATAAATCCTCTATGTCAATTTAGTAACTGAAGTCACTTTTGATATGTAGGAGAAGTGTGAACAATATGCTTGCTAATGAATTATAACTAGATTGAGAGAATTTTTATAATCAGTATAAATGCTTGCAGAATATATTTCTTAATATTAAAATATTGTTTTATACCTGACCATTTATCAGATTGGTGTCTTGAAATGTCTACTCTTATTAAATTTTGGATTATGTATTTCAAGCAAGTTGGAGACTTAAGCATTTTTCCATAAGTATGGCTGCAGGTAAACAACCAATTTTAGTCCAGAAAATAGCTTCTGCTTCTGTCAACATGTTGTTTATTTTCTCCCGGAGATAAAAAGTTCAGTTTTCTGATATTTGTACCAAGATAAAGTCAGTAAACAAGATTAATATAGTGTGGAAAAGGTTGTCAGCAACCCTGGCAAAGGAAATAAGTTGCCTGTACAGAGAACATACTGTAAACTGAATAAAAGTGTCAGGTCCACCATGAGATAATGTGATCATGAACCTCTAACAAAGCATGACATAGGCACAGTCGGCTTTTCTTATACTCACAGTGTAGAAAATGGATTACTATATTCCAGGGATACCCGCTGGAATAGCATGAAAACCTCATTTTGAGATTAATGCAGGATATAACTCTCTTGCACTGAGCCACATGTTTACCTATAGTGTTCTAGTAACAGTTTGGTTATCAAGGTTGTAACTTCCCGATTGCATATACATTTAAAACATTTTAGTTCATTAGCATTTCAAAGTCCATATTTGTCAAATAATGTGTCATGCTGAAATTATAAGGTAAAATGAAACATCATTCCTGGGGAAGTTTGTTTGAAAGCTTTGATTGCAATTTTGTTATTATTTAGTAAATAAGCAAGACTTCTTTCATCTCCATTAAAACTGACTAAAAATTGTCAAATATTGTTGTCTGGAATTGCTTATTTTCTATTGGTATAATTCTGGTAGCAAGTTATAATGTTGCTATGTCATTTGCTGTCAAACCATTTTAGGAGTCGTTGCATTAGGCTAATCACTGACTAGTAAAATAGATGCCCTTTACAAGTTCTATTAATTGTAAGAAGTTCTGTTCATTCCCAATTTGTAGATAGGGAATTACTCTAAAACTGGACAAATATTTTGAATCTGTGGAGATTTCAAAAGATACCCTTGGTATTATATGAACATTTTCCAGACCTAAATCTTAAGATGACTTGGTGGTGGTTCTTCTGCATAAAAATGTGTAAGAATAGAGGAAATTTGCTTCTATAAAATATTCAGTGATTTGTTGTCTTTGAAAATGTAATGTATCATCCTCCTGATGAGTGATGACATGTCAAATGTGGATAAACAGAAGATACATAGGTAAAAAACACAACAAACCCCAATGGTCCCAGACAATATGTGCATATCAGCTGTTTGTGTGGTTTCCAAGTCTGCATTCAGTCCTGGCAGCATAGCTTCCTCCCCTCCCTCCGCTGACTTTGGCCGTTTAGTGACTGCAGGTTGAACCTCTCTCAACTGGGACTCCCAGGTCTGGCAACATCCATGGTCAGATGGAGAGCCAGAAGCAGGAGACACCTGTGGAGGGCCAGAGGCAGGAACCCTGCGGAGGCCGGGAACCCAGCCAGGCTTGCTGCTGGGAGGACAGCAGCTAGGAGCCCTGCCTCAGGAGTCTGGCTGAGCCAGTGGCAGGGTGGCTGAAATTCCAGCAGGCTCCGGTGGGCAGCAGTCTGCTGTGATGTGGTCAGGAGCCGCAGCAGTGAGACCGCAGGCCTGCTGCAGCAGGGTTGGTAGAGCCAGGAACCCCAGCAGTGGAGCCAGTTCTGCCTGGGTAGGGCTGGCAGGGTCAGGATCCCTGGCAGCAGCAGTCTGCTGTGGGGAGAGGGAGGAGGAGGAAAGGGGTGGGAGTCCTGACTTCGGGCTGGCAGGACCGGTGCTGCCACGGCAGGGCTGGCAGGGCTAAGAGCACTGGCGGCGGGGCGGTAGTCTATGGCAGCAAAGCTGAGAGCCCCAGCTGCGGGTCCATGGGCTACTTGCATGGGGGGAACCTACCAGGAGGCCAGGCCAGGAGCAGAGCTGGGCTGGGGAGCTGGTGGCAGAGGGGCAGAAATGACCTCCCCTGGTTCAGCAAAATCCCTCCTTAAGGACAGCTCAGGTCCCAAGGGTGCCAGACCAGGGAGGTTCAACCTGTATAAGACTTTATGCGCTGGAGACTTTAAAGTATGTAATTGTAAGAGGATTTGTTGCTCCAAATAGCAGTAATTTCAGCACTCTTTCTGCATGTGTGTATAGTCAGCAGGTGTTTCCTAATACCCTTAGCTCCACCTCCTGTCTGTATGCATAGTAAATAGTGCTGCAGAAGAAAAGGAGGCCGCTCTGCTGTACTACTGCACAATACCACAAAGCTCTGTTATCCACCTCCATCCCTTTTCAAAGCCTGTTTGTGCTGCGTGAGGAGACTATATAAGATAATTATGTAATCGTCTTAAAAATCCTGATTTTTTTTTTATTGCAGTTGAAATTAAGGAAGAATACAACCACAATGTAGTTATATAAAAGTTACAATGTTATATGTACTTTTTACTTACCTTTTATTTTCATTAGCATTTTCTCTGTATTTGAGATTCAAACCTGGGTTTTCAAAGGAGTCTTTTCCCCTTAAGAGCCATTTGAAAATTCCAGTCTTAACATCATATCTTTGTGTTTTTCTACATTTCTTAAGACACAATACTTTCTGGGTCAGATTTTCAAAACTATCTGAATCCCATTGTAAAAAGTATTTAGGTGCCTAAAGATGCAGATAGGCATCTTTTGACATTTTCAAAAGCACCTAAGCAGATTCGGCACTTAATTTCTATTATAGTCCCACCATTCACCTGTTTGCATCATTAGATATGTAGGCACATTTGAAAATCGATCCATAAGACTCCTAAACTTCTGAATCACCTTTCAAAACTGGGGTTAGGCTCCTAAATCATTTAGACTCTTTTGAAAATATTACTTGCTATCAATGGAAAGTACTACTAACTGTCTTCACTGTACTTTGTGTGTTTCTATTTCAGTAGGTAGTATATATTCTTTCTACAGAGAAATAGTGTACATGTGGTTCAGTCCAAGAACTTGTGGCATTTTTATTTTTATTTTTTTCCCCTCTTAGATTAGCACTCCAGGCCCAGGCAACAAGAAAACGGTTCACTTGTCCCAAGATTCTCATCACAGTGAGTGAGTATCAGTGGTAGAAGTTGTCACTATTTTTATTATTTGTATTATAGTACCTTCTGAGGCCCAAAGCTATATTGTGCTACACACTGAAATAGACACTGAATACATGAGATCCCTGACCCAATTATAGGACATATCCTAAGGACAGTAGTACAACCTTTTAAGCTTCCCGTGGGTTTTTAATTAATAAGTGTAGTTCAGTGCTGTGTTAAATGTAATTTTATTAAGTTTTTTTATGCATGTACTTATGTTTAAAAGGTTGTCATGTTATAAATGTTCACAGATCTGCTAAGTAACAAATACAAAAAAATTGTGTAAAGACATTTGAAGTGGTTTTCTTCTTAGAAGGAATAACAAGTTCAGGGATGTCAAACTACATTTCACAATGAAAATACAATACCTAACACTTTTAAGTGTGATGCATTAAGTATCCTGTGAGGGAATTGGTTCTCATATAACTTCCAAGAATCAAAAAGCCTGAATTAATTGTTTAAGGACTTTCTGACAAGAAATATCACTATATTCCAGCATATCATTACCATAGATCAGCTTATTGTGTTCAGATGATATTGTTAGTAGAAGTGTTTTCTGATGTCCTTTGAGTACTGTGCAATATATAAAAGACGTGATTTTCTTATTTTTTCAGACAGGGAATCCAAAACACCAAGTTTACCAAAAAACTTACCAAAAAGAATGTAACCATAAATGGCATCTCTTCACATAGCTGTTAGCGATTAATCTAAAAATAAGAAAATGAATAGGTATACTTTAAAAATTAAATTAAATTAAGGTACAATATAATAAAGGCATCATTGGCATTAATTTCCCAGCCAAAATTTTATAATCTGTGTCTGTTACTGTGATAATGTGAATACCTCGCATTCTTTGAGAGATTGGTCCCTATTTTATTCCTCTGTGGACTTATGCATGCTCAACATGTTCCCAGAGCTAGAGTGTTTGAAAGTAGTGTCCATTGATCCATGCATACATCCCAGCTCACCTTGTGCCTCCAGCTGAAGGGATAAAGATGCCTCTTCAGTTCCTTCTCACTACTGAGTGCTCTGGGTTGGAACCTTTAGTATCACTTCAGCTTCATTCCACAAAAATAAGAATTACTTGGTTTGTAAGTATTTCAATAATTAATGTTTAGCATTAGATTCATCTCTCATGGCAACACCTCCATCCCTTGTATCACATTTGAGTAGTACACTGCAGCTTCCATGTAAGCTGTGAACTTGTGTAGCTGATCAGGAAAAAATCAAATGCTGCCCAGCTGCCCTCTGTTTTCAAGGAGTTAATATCACTTCCAAGGGGATTAGCCGCTGGAAGGAGCTAATCGACAGTTAACAGAATATATCTTCTCCCCAACAGAACTGATTGGTACTATTGGAAGCAGAATTAGAGACTGAGCCATCTGATGAACCATTCTTCCTTTATCTTATTTGTCTTTCATGATCCTAAAGTCCCAGATAGGTTTGGAATCACCCCCTGCCTCATCTAACTAGGAGGCACTGGTAACCCATGCAATGACCACCTATTGACCTCTCCTGCTGACTACCTTGGGGACCTTAGGACCAGTACCCCTCTGCAGAATTAATCCAGTTTGCCAAAGAGTCACCTTTCCTTCTCTTTCAAGAGATGTAAATCAACCCCTAGAGTCAACAGAAAAAGATGGACGATACACTCCGGATCTAACAGTTCCACTGGAATCAGCAAGATTGCCATCATCATCCCCACACAATGAAGTGTGGCCCCTTCCCTCTCCTTGACTTCCAGGACCTCCTCTGCAGAGTTGTTAGAGAGCTTCAGAAGACTCCAGCACAAACTGCCAGACATCCTGCATGTTTCCATAACCAAAAGAATAGTTCTTCTCACTAATGAATCCACACCTGATTCACTTCAGTCCTTGATATTTGGGTTGGACATTATCGCTAGAATGTTCATGCTCCACAAATGCCCAATACATTCTCTCTAATGGTAGAAAGGACTCTATTAGAAAATGTTATCTAGTTAAATTGAAGAGTTTCTCTTCTTGGTCACAATAAGGATGTGTTCTGCTGGAGACCACATTGATTCCTCTTACCTGGGACTAATCCTACTTTTGAAGTCACCAGGTTAATCTGTTAGCTCCTTGAAAGTCCATTTGTTGGCGATCAGTGCATACCATCTAACTTCTCGAGGCTACTTGGGCTTCACATATCCATTGATCAATAGATTCTGGAAAGTCTTAATAAGAACCTACTCAGAGCTTTCTGTTCCCTTATGTGACTAGAACCTTGTTCCCTGAATACTCACAAATCCCCCCATTTGAGCCTTTAATTACTTGTTCTATAATTCTCATTTCAGTGAAGGTTACCTTTCTTGTAGCCATTATTTCCATGAGAGAGGTTGGCAAACTTGGAATAATGATGGCAGATCTTTCTTACACTATATTCCATAAAGGTTACATTTCTTTATTCTACATCCCAAATTCACCCCTTAAAGTAGATTCAGAATTTCATCCTAAACCAATCCATTCACTGTCCCTTGTTCTTTACAAAACCATGTGCTTCCTCAGAGGAACAAGTACTCCACATACTCTTGATGTTCAGTGAGCCTGGACTTTTTATCTATAGAAAACAGGTCCCCAAGACGGTTCCTTCCTATAACGAACTCAGAGGGCATGCCATCTCCATGGGTTCCCAAAATGTGGGGCGTGAAGAAATTCCAGCCCTGGGGGGTGCAAGGAGTTTTGTTTTTTGGCCCCAGTCAGTTCCCCCCCCCCTCCCCCAACAAGTTTTGCTGCTATGGGGGAGGGGGAGCATGAGGGTTTGTGAACCACTGATCTAGACAATCTCTAGATGGATCTCTGGCTGCATTCTACTTTGCCATTACCTTTTGAATCCTGTCCCACAATGGGGTAGGAGTTCATTCCATTAGAAAGCAAGCAATAACTATGGTGTCTCATCAACAGATACCCCTCCTGGACATATGTAAAGTCACAATATGGGGCTTTGTTCACATATTTTTCAAGACATTATTCCCTAGTGCAGGACTCTTCTCTTGATACCTTTTTTGAGGTGGCAGTACTCTGTTCAGCCCTATTGCCTACATTCTCACACCTTTCTAACTACTTAGGTATTGCTTGCCAGTCACTAATAGTGTAATACGATATGTACCATCACTCAAAAAAGAAGAGGTTACTTATGTAACTGGAGATTCTTCAAAATGTGTGGTCCTTATCTATATTCCACAACCTACCCTTCTTCCCTCTACTTTGGATCTTATCAAATTGTTGGTTTGTCCCATCCTTTATCCCATTGCTCGGAGCATGAGGTGAGCCAAGACTGTAGACAGGGTCCAACGAATACTATTTTCAAATACTCCAGCTTGGGGCACACAGTGAACCCCACAGTGAAATACAGATAGGGATTACAGAACCTCAAAGAACATCCAGTTACAGATAAGTAACCTCCTGTGAGTGTTTTAATATACATGACTGTTCCTGATTTGCTCTATTTATAAGTAGAAGTAACTTATATTCATGGACTCCCACGGACCTTGGGCTGAGAGGGCACTGACCTTTCTTCTGCTACATTAACTCTAACATGCATGTTTCATTCTCTCTCTCTCTCTCTCTCTCTCTCTCTCTCTCTTTTCAGACACCTCCCCTCCCCCAACCAGTTCTGTGTGGGAGTGTACAAACTCAGTTTCTCAGTTTCCAGTTCCTGGGGTTCTCTCCCTTCCCCCCCTTCACTATAGAAAAAGTCGCTGGGATTATGACTTTATATTATGGGTCATTTGATAACCATATTTGGGCTTAGGAAGGAATTTTCCTCTCAGTCATATGTGCAGAGACTCTGAGGGTTTTTCACTTTCCTCTTCATGAGGCAGGGATCACTTGCAGATTTGAACTAGTATAAATGGTAGAGTTTCTGTAACTTGGAAGTCTTTAAACCATGATTTAAGGACATCGGTATCTCTAACAGAGGTTAAAGGTCTATTACAGGAGAGGGCGGATGCGGTTCTATGGCCTGCAATGAACAGGAGGTCACACTAGACGACTGCTTCTGACATTAAAGGCTAAGAGCTAGTCATGATCAGGGCCCATTGAACTAGATGCTATGGTACAAGTTTTCATGGTTTACTATGGAATTGTCAGTCTTCCCTAACAGTCTAACAGTATGCAGCATATTCAGAGTATCAAACAGGGCATTTGAAAACAATGCAAAAATCTCCAGGAACACTACTTTTCCTGCAAATCCATTATCTAAACTGTTTGGGGGGAGGGGTTCTGGGGTCGTTCTGATCTAGTTTGGAAAGAATTCAGTTTAAAACGGTTATATTGTTAAACTATCTTAAATTTAACCATTTTAGAAATCAGAGTCTACAAGCCATTAAATTATTCACCGAGGCCCATAAATAGGGTTAGAAATAACTAGCATTGTTCTTCAGTTAGTGGTCCATTTAATTCTGTGAAGACACAGTTTACATTTTAGCATTATGTATGATTCAACACCTAAGCCCTGGTAACATCATTGAATACTTTCTACAGATTCCTGCACTGCTGTTTTTGCTGATAAACTGACTTGAGTCTTTAAGAATCTTCTTGAGTCCTATTTAACTTTTGCAGGGAGAAGGCATTGCCTGTCATTACTTAGTAACTGCAGCAGTGTAGGAAATCTAAGCATGATAATAGGGATGTTCAGAAACAGAAGTTTTTCAGTAAACATAGCCTGAGGAACTTTTCCATTGACTACTTCAAGGGATCATTTTGAAAATACAGTCTTTTGATTATACTGTATTGCCATTTGCATCTAGAATAATACAACTTCATTTACAAACTATGTGTTGGTGTTTCTGTGTTTTATTTGAATGCCTGGAAGTATGTTTCCCTTCCCCTAAGATTGTTGCTATGCTTGAAGGGGCAATATATTGAGATGGTGAAAAGGGGTGTGCGTGCATAGTGCCAGGTGCTCCTCTTCTACTACTACTACTCCTACCTGTGATTTGCCCCCAAGAGCAGCTGTTAAACCCCAGTGTAATGCCACTTAAAGACATTTGGAGGCCTGCAGCCTGTTTCAGATATTGGTGTGTATAAAAGCCAGTCTGTCACCCAGTGGATACAGTGAAGGAAGGCACTATGTTAGCTCATTTTGTACCCTCTTACTATTCCACTGTTTTGCTTCTGTAAAGTAAAGCCCCGTGAGGGGGTGCAGAGGAGTCCCAGTCCCCGCAGCTGGACAGTAGCAAGAGGCTGGCAGAGACAGCCGCAAAGTTTCAGCCTCTGCTACAGGGCTCGGGAACCGGCAGCAATGGTCCCGGAGCTCTAGTCCCAGACGTGGAGTTCTGGGGCGGTGGCAGTAGCCACAGAGCTCTGGCCCTGGTGGCAGCCCTGGAGCACTAGCCTGGGGAGCCATGGCCAAGCAGGCAGCAGTGGGGCCTGGCTGGTGCCCTAGCTGGGTACAGCAGAGCAGCACAGGTCATGCTGGGAAGGCCCTCCCCTGGTTCAGCAAATCTCCTTGTTCAGGACCAGTCAGGTCCCGAGGTTGCTGGACAAGGGAGGTCCAACCTGTAGTTAAAAATTTACACTTCAGTAACAATGGTAGAATTAAATTGTTATATTTCAACATGCAGATTAAGACATGTAAAATGTTAGCATTTACAAAATAAATTAATTGAATAAAACATAATTAAATTTAAAGTTAATGGCTACTCAGTTTATCTAAGAAGTGGAAATTTGCATCGAGTGCATTTTTACATTCCTATCAAAACTTTGAGAGTTCCATAAAATATCCCATTAAAATAAAGCATAGCCAAAGGCTACGTTTCTTGGTGGACAATAAAATACCCCAAAGCACGCACAAACTGCTCAGATGACAGCACGTGCTTTAGGTGGTTATATTGCTAAACCTTTCTTTTCTTTTTCTCCTACAGCCACTGGTTTAGCCCTGGGGCTAGGAAGGAACATAGTCAGGTAAGAACCACTTTGATCAAGAACAGTTTGCTTCATATATTTGAAGGAATTTAACTGTCTCTACTCCAAAACTTTTGCGTCAGTATTTTAATACAAAAGAACCAAAGCAGCTTTAATTCCATGTTTTCTTGCAAGCTGTTGAAAAAATTTAACAGCTAAGCATTTAAAAAGGTCTCTTGGTTAATAAGCTGACTTACCAAATGATACTAGATATGCATCACAGTTTAATTTTACTACCAGCTTAAGATTTCAGAATATTTTATCCTGGTAAGCAGTTGATTTTTAACAATAGTGCTTGTGTTTCTCTGAAACTACAGTCTGAGTACTTCTATGTAGTGGAAAACGTGCCATTTTACACAGTTTTTATGAAATTTAAAACTGTGTAAGAACAGATTTGTAGGATGAAATTCACAACCCACTCGTCTCTGTTACTTTAGGTAAAAGAGGGACCAGATATGTATAAAGACTATGCTGGGGGAGGATTCTCCTGGTGCATAAACTGGAAAAGGCAGACAAAGCTCATCATGAGTTCCAATGAAGGAGGCCTCCTTAGGGATATGTCAAGGCAGGGCTGCAGTGACCAAGAGGATTCCAGACAGAGTTGTGACCAGCTGAGCAGCCTAGAGAGCCAACTGTGATTTAGACTGGCATGAAGGGCAGTCTGAATTATATCAGGGGAGTAGCCCCAGCTCAGATTGGCACAGAGATAGCTCAAAGCAATCAGTCCTCCTGATCCCCAGAAACTGCAAAGAATCTCACAAGCTGTATGTTGGCCGCCTCATACTTAAGATCAGTGAATTTAACAAGAAAACGCATTTGAATAGCACAGTGTTGCTTAACTGATGACCTGAAAAATACTTAGTTACGTATACAGTAAAGCAAAAATTTATGGACAGAATAAGAACTTTCTGTAAATAAGTATTTCTATTCCATATCTTGAACACACTAGTTCTTTTCAAACACTCAGGAAAATTAACTAAAACCATCAGTAGTACTTCAGTCCTCTACAGAAAAACTCATTGGGTCGTATCTTAAGTTGTGGCTAATTGATGTAGCTCAGTTGGTTTCAGTGGATCTATGCTGAATTACACCAACAAAAGTTCTAACAAATAGATTTTAAGCACCAAGGAAAACAATATGTAACACAGTAAGATACCGGAGATTTTTAGAAAATTCATCATGGTTTTTAGGACCATTCTGAACTTCTCTAGCTCTGCTAGCTCAGAGTTAAATCAGCATATCTGCTTTTCTTCCTCTTCTTTCAACCACAAAAACAGACTTAATTTTACTTCTCTCAGGCCTGACAGGATGAAAAAAGTGGATTAGAGTTTTAGCTGTGAATTGTGAACATTTTACAATACATTTTACAGTTTGCTAGATGACATCTGATAGCTACATAGACAACTTTTGAATATTTGTTACATTTGAAACTTTTATTTCTTGTAGAAGAAATGCACTAGCATTTTAGAATCTGGCTTTATGATGTCAAATTTACTGATTGTAATAATTAACACTTTGTGAGTTGCACTTTAAAATTTAAAATATTCATTTGTTATCCTTAATGTCTCAAATTACTTGATAAATTACCTTTAGTACAACTTTTGAAAGTTCTGAAATGCAGATTAGACATGCAATTTTCCATGCTAATTGGTGTCCCAGCATCGGTTATGCTGCTGATATTTCATCTACCATGAAACTTGACTGCAATGTGAATAACACCTGTAATGGTAACATTAATATTTTTATTTAAAAATATGTAATTTTAAAAACAATTTCACCATGTGGGTTGTAAAATAATTACAAATGCTTTTGTACTTTTGGAAGTGGCATTGAAGGTCAGGTAAATTAAGTTTTCAGACTGTAGCTGAATCATATAATGAATGTAATGTCATCATGTGAAACAGAAACTGTGATAGGTCTGTATTCCAGACTTGTAAAAGAAGGGAGAATGAATGAGTTTAAAACCAATAATATTGACTCTCAAAGCATCTTATAGAAATTTCCCTAAGGAAGGCCAGATTGTATGACTATAAGTTTTACCTGCCATGGTATAATAATAATAATGTTTTGCTTAATTATATAATTTTTGAAATAAGTATGTACTAAATTAGAGCTTTTATAATTAGCTAGTCAAGATAAAAGTAGGTAGCATGCAGGGGCAAACTGGCCCAGCGGGATACCGGGAATTTCCCGATGAGCCGTCCTCTGAAGGGCTGGCTGGCAGCTTCTGGAGGATGAGGGGGATTGTGACGGAGCGCCACAGCCCCACACTTTAAATTCCCCGGTGCCGGCCATGTACGTGGCAAGGTGGAGCCAAGGGAGTGCATGTGCAGCATGCTCAAACGCTGCACAATAGCTGAGAGGGGAGACGCCCAGGTGTGGCATGACATCATGGCCTGGGACTTTAAAACTGACCGGCCCAGAGTTTCACTGCACGGCCCAGCTCCAGGCCCGGCACGTGCTCTGGAGCCCCGGAAGCAGCTGGGGCCAGGGCTGCGGAGACTTCTGGGGCCTGATCACAGACTCCAACCCCGCAAACTAGAAGGCAGAAGGTGGGGGAGGGGAAAGGGGGAAAACGGGGAAGGGGTGGGAGAGGAAGGGGCTTGTGCTGAGGAGAAGGGGCACAGGACAGAGAAGAAAGGGGAAGGCACCAAGGGATAGGGTGGAGGAGAGACAAATGCTAGGGGTCCAAGAGGAGACAATGAGAGGAAATGGCACAAGGAGTGGAGAGGGGAGAGGGAAGTTGTCAGTGGGAATGGGAGAAGGGAGGGGACAGGGTGTTGTGAGGAGGGACAATGGGGGAAGAGGAAAGAAGAGGAGAGGGGAGGAGAGGATACCAGGAGAAGAGGGGCTGAAAAAAGGGATGGGGATGAGGAAGGCAGAGGATGAAGGACAGAGAGGGGAATGAGAATTGGGGAAGAGGGTGCTGAAAAGGGTGAAGGGAGCAGGGGCAGTGAGGGAAGGGGGAGGCACTAGGAGGGTGCAGGGGTAAGAGAAGGTGCAGGTGCCAGGGGATTCTTGGGGTAAACCAGAAGGGCAGACACCTGCAAGGGAGGGACCAGCACCAGAGGAGAGAGGCAGGGCAGGTGTGTAGGGAGGTGTTAGGAGAGGGGATGAGGAGGGGTAGCTCACATGATCAGAGTGGGGCTACTGGAGGAGTGGGTACAGGGAAGAGAGAAGGGCTTGTGGAGGGGGGCAGGTCTCAGGAGGGCTGAGGGCAGTGAGAAGGGCAAGAGTCAGGGCAGCAGGGGGGGGTGAGGGGTTGGAGGGCAGCAGGCACCAGCAGAGCTGATGGAGCAAGGGGAGGAGACATGGCAGCAGATGGAAAAGGTAGAAATTTATAATATATGTATTAATAACTTGGGTGCCACAGTGGCACATCCAAACAAGCCACATGAACTTAGTACTGGTACACAGCACAAAATTCATTCTGCTCATGGGAGGAAACTCTTAGAGCGAACACTTCCCCTAGCCTCTCCGCCCCCTCGTTAATGTCACACACATTGGGTTAATGCAATTGCAGTATAGTTTCATAAGGGGAGTTTGGTGGGGGGGCAAACTAATCCCTATTGGTAGGAGGATGGTGGGAAAAGTCCTTAGAGAGGAGTCGCATGACACCTTTTACTTCTGGTCATGTGTCCATCTTGCCCTGAGAGTGTTACCTTCAGAGGCCTGGGTAATGGGAGTTAGTGAGTGTGGTTAACAGGGGTCAGGAGTGTGGCTACTTGGGGTCAAAGAGTAAATTTTAAAATTCTTTGATGTGAAAAAGTGGGCCGTTCTCAACCCATTTCCTGGGCCTATTTTGATTGCCAATCCGCCCCTGGTAGCATGTAAACTATTGAACAACAAGAAGATTGTTCCTCTTAACCTGGTTATTTGAGGCACTTGCCCATCTCTATAGTGGTATTGTGAAGTCCCTAAGTATGTACCCTAATTTTTTTCTGCCCACCTTCAGTGAAGTGCTACCTGGGTCTTTACAACCATTGTGTAGCTACATTTTCTATTCAGTTCTGCTCACATTTTGTATTCTTTTTGTTAAAGGTTTATTTTCCTTCAAAACATGATTTTAGTTACTTTTGGTATTAGTTTGCGTTTCCTCTGCATAATTATTTGGCAGCCATTCTTCACTGTGTCATTGCCATATCAGCCTCACACTGAGGAGTGTCATTTCAATTGGAGACACATTTTAAATAGTGAAGTAATTTAATTTTTGGGAAATTCTTCATGTTGTATTTATTTGTTAGAAATCTAAAAAACAGGGTGGTCTAGAACCTACATTATTTTAATAACCAGTGCAAGCTAATAGTGTTAGAAAGACTAGCCAGTTAGCTTTTGTTGTTTCTATAAAAATTTCAACTTTTGAGGTATCTTTTCTAGAATGACAAAGTAGGGCTGCTAAGCAATTAAAAAAATGACTCGTGAATAATCATGCTGTTAATAATAGAAGGTATTTATTTAAATATTTTGGACGTTTAATACCTTATAAAATATCTGCATTTCAGTTACAGAATATAAAGCGTACAGTGCTCACTTTATTTTTGGTTCCCAGTATTTTCACTAGAAAAGTACTGTAGTGTAATCTCTTTATCATGATAGTTGAACTTAAAATGTAATTACACACAAAAAATAACTATATTCAAAAATAAAATAATATAAAACATTAGAGCGTACAAGTTATGCAGTCCTACGTCTACTCCTTGTCCACTCAAACCCATTTGTTTACATTTGCAGTAAATAATCGTGCCCACTTCCTGTTCACTGTGTCCTATGAGAGTGAAAATAGGTGTTTTATATGGCATTGTTGTAGCCAGTATCTCAGAATATTTATGCGACAAATGCGCTAAAGAATTGTATGTCCCTTCACACTTCAACCACTATTCCACAGGACACGTGTCTATGCTGCTGACGGGTCCTGCTTGATAAATATCCAAAGCAGTGTAGACCAACACAAGTTCATTTTCATCATCCGAATAAGATGCCAGCAGCAGAAGATAGATTTCTTGTTGTTTTTTCCTCCCTTTTGGTGAATCAGGTTGTATACTTTGCACATCGAAGTGTTGCTCTTTTATGATTTCTGAAAGCATACCTCGTCCCTCTGATTTTGGAAGGCATTTCAGCTTCTTAAACCTTGGTGACACAAAGTGTGGATTATATTTGCTATGTTCACTTGTCATGTTGCATGTGATTTCTACTATTCTGTACTGTCTCAGTTTCTCTGGGCACTGCACTACTATCTAGATGGGGATGGGAATTCTGGGTGTGACTCACTGAGGGAGGCTGCTGTGGCCAGTATGTTCACAATGGCCCAGGCTTATGGTAACCTGAGCCTGGGAGTGGGGTGTGACCAAATGACACCTTTTGCCTGGGAAGCTGGACAAAGCAGGAGGCCAGGCTGCCTGCAGGGCTGGGATCCATTGCTGAGTGTTAGTTAGGAAGCAGGGAGGGGGCCCAGGGTCCTGGCTCGGGGCCCCCTTCTCACCAAGATGGACTATACTGACTGCTTCTGGTTCCTGCTTCTAACAAGCCTGTTCTGTGCTGTATCCCTGTGAACCAATAAACCTGCTGTTCTGCCTGCTGGCTGAGAGTCACATCTGGCTGCAGATAGGGGTACAGGGCCCAGTGGCTCCCCACACTCCATGACACTTGGGTCGAATGCTGTAGCTATCTTTAGAAATCTCACATTGGTACCTTCTTCGTGTTTTGTCAGATCTGCAGTGAAAATGTTCTTAAAATGAACAACATGTGCTGGGTCATCATTTGAGACTGCTATAACATGAATACATGGTAAAATGTGGGTAAAACACAGAGCAAGATGCACACAATTCTCCCCCAAAAAGGTGTCACAAATATAATTAATGCATTAATATTTTTAACAAGCATCAGCAGCATGGAAGCGTCTTCTGGGATGGTGGCTGAAGCAAAAGGGCACACAGGTGTTTAGCATATCTGTCACATAAAAATACCTTCAGTGCCTGCTATAAAAGTGCCATGGGAACATCTGTTCTCACTTTCAGGTGACGTACGTAAGACGTGAGCAGCATTATCTCTTGCAAATGTGAACAAACTTGCTTCTCTTAGCAATTGGATGAACAAGAAGTAGGACTGAGTGGACTTCTGAACTCTAAAGTTTACATCATTTTTTTTGAGCGCAGCTATGTAACAATCTACATTTGTAAGCTGCACTTCATAATAGAAATTGAACTATAGAACTTACATGAGGTAAGTTGAAAAATACTGTTTATCATTTTTATAGTTCAAATATTTGTAATAAAAATATAAAGTGAGCACTGTACACTTTGTATTCTGTGTTGCTATTGAAAAGCATTCAAAATATTTAATAAATTTTGGTTGGCACTTTGTTTAGTAGTACTATTAAAACTGTGATTAAGAATGATTAATTGCAGTTAACTCAAAAAAATAATCAACAGCCCTGCTACAGAGTTCTAATAATTTTGGGTTTTAAATTAATGAATATGTAATTATCTTAACTCCATGCTTCGTTTCCAACACGATTGTGAATTTTTGTTTGTTTTTTGGGGGTGTGGTTTGTGTGTAGCTTCAGCTCCTGAGGGATAACCGATCTGAGAGAGGACACAAGAAAAATATTTCAGTAAAAACAGCTAGCAGGTAAGTTAAAGCTGAAAATATACTTGAAAAACACTAGCTTAATTATTACTTCCTATCTCCCAAAATTATATATGGTGATTGACTCCTTCTTTGATGGGCTTTTTTCTGTCTAATTTCATTTTTGAAATCTTTTCTATGTAATTTTAATGTTTTGTTAACATTTGTATATTGGGTTGCATTGGTAATTGTATCAAAGTAACTGATTTAGTTTGATTATAATCATTTTATAAAATGTGTGACCGAGTTCTTAACTTTGCAGTTTAACTTCTACGGGTCAAGCAGCTACTGTGTTACCTTTATATATAATAATAGAGATGTAGCCGTGTTAGTCTAGTCTAGCTGAAACAAAAAAGGACTATGTAGCACTTTAAAGACTAACAAGGTGGTTTATTATGTGATGAGCTTTCGTGGGCCAGACCCACTTCCTCAGATCAAATCGTGGAAGAAAATTGGCATGACCATATATATACGTATGTATATCTTTTAATGAAACAGGCAATTGAAAATAGCTTAACATTTGTGTCAATCTTGTAGTATGCTTAGAAATGTCATTTTCCTGTTTTAAAAAACCTCCACCTGATTAAGAAACTTTATGGAAACAAATCTTATCATTGCCCCCTCCCCAAAAAACATAAAAATTCAAACATTGCAGTATTAAACGGTGGCAAAAATCATAATCAGTTCTCCCAGTACATGACTTTATAGTACATAATTTATGGTACATAATCCCCCTGCTTATTCATTATATTATAATAGAAAATTATACAAATGTTTTCTTTGCTATATATAATACCTGTTATTTAAACACAACTTTTATTTTTGTTTATAGTGGTATTATTTGGGAAGAGAAATAAGTTCTTTTGAAAAGTCAATAACATAATAATAGTTTAAAAACTTGGGTAATTATACCACTTTTAAGGAAGAATAGTCACAAGTCCTTCAACTTTTTGTCTCAGTATTAATTACTTGAATATAGCAATTTTTTCATGTTGGTTAATAGCTGGAGTCTGATCATATGAGTATTAAACATGAAAACAGTTAATTTGAATTATGTGCAAGCTCAGGTGATCTTTTCCAAATGTTTGGTTCCACCAGAGAAGCAGAATCTGTTACACTTCATCTTCACACAGTTTATAAGACTCATCTCTTAATGTCTTCCAGAATAAACAAATATTATTTTAAAGGTGTTTGAAAGCAATTTCCTATTGAGCATAGTTCTGAAACATACTTTTGTTTTGAAGAACAGTTTGAAAGAACATTGTCCTCCCTTGACATGAATTCTCCCCGTAACTGCATATTTAGGGTCTGATATTCATTGTCCTGCCACCATCCAAAATTTCAATGATTTAATATTTTACCTTTATAAAAGTTGGTATAAATAATTACAAGAGTTATATGTGCACACCACATTGTAAATACACAGAACATATCCCTTTCAGTGAAATGCAATGGGTTAAGTTTTGCCAGGATAAATAGAGTGGATGGGATTTCCAGGTCGGCAGGACCATCAGAGGGCTCCAACAGCTTGACATAGTTTTAAGTGGTCATACTCCCTGGAAGGTAATTAACCACCTTGCTGCTGCATTTGGAATTCCCAATTCCAACAGTGTGGGTGGAGGGACACCCTTTTTTTTTTCCCCCGTTCAAACTTATGGAAAAATCATCCAGTCAGATGAAGTGCACAAAGTTAATGAAAGGGCATGTTCCAAATTCTACCTTTCTAGTAAATGCTGCATCAGGAATCTTGAAATGAGAACAGTCTCTCTTTCAGATCTTTACACATGTGGCCAGATTCTTTAAAAGGTATACATTAGCAAAGCTCTTCTGAAATCAATGAAATTTTACAAATTTACACAAGTGAAGGTTTTGGCCCATTATTTAACATAATTATAAAACAACTCTAAGTTAGGCTATTGTATTTGAGGTTACTATATGCATATGCAGCTAAGTCTTTTTTTGAATACAAGTGTTCATTCTCACTCCTAATTGTCAAGCACTCTAAGATTGGTTATAACTTACCTTTTGCACATTTTAAATTATTACATTTGATATGCAAGGATATTATAATTCAGATGATTGATCTCCTTTTAAAGGAAATTCATAACAAATTTTAACTGTGACCAATAGAAATGTCTCGTCTTGTGGTTTGTTGCTAAATACAAGAAAAGCAGCAGATGGTAAACATTTCAGTGTTTATAAAATTATTACTCAGCACACTTTAGACTTGCTAGCCAATGCATAGATGTTGGTGCAGCATATGCCACATTAATGGATATTCATTTTCACAGTATTACTGTCTACTATATATTTGAGAGAGTCTGTTTGTTCAAGAACTTCTTCATGGTAAGAGCTAGGACCACCAAATTCTGTGTATACCTTTCTTTCAGTTATGTTAAGAGGAAGCTAAAGGTTTGGTTTTGCCAGGGAAATGGCATGTGATTAGAATGGGATTACTTCTCATAAACCACACAGAAAAGAAACCGAATCCCCAGGCAGGTGAAATGGGCTGGCTGCAGGGATGCCAGCCCTGAGCCTTCCATCCCCAAGTGCCTTTAGTAAGGGCTGGGAGGGAAGGCTGAAGCTCCCCCTAAATTCATATGGGAACATTTCTGGCTGTTCCCCTTTGTCAGGAGCTACTGGAAAGTGCTGCATTCCTCACTGACTGGGGAGTGCAGGGGGCAGACAAACCTGCACCTGCCCCAGCTGGGGGACATGTATCTTTCTCCCTGGTTCTAACTGCATAAAAGGCACTTTTCACCTGGCTTCATGCTGCTGCAGTGAGAGAGGCCTGGGGTAGTCCTCTCTCCCCTACACAGCCTGCATACTCAACCTCTCATCCCAGCCCCACCCCAGAGTAATGATTTAAATGAAGCATGTACATTTTCATTTTATTTTCCAAAAAAACAAAAAATGAGTTAAGGACCCGAGCAACACTGGATAAATATTCTTGTGATACATAAATAAATATACAAATTTGGGAAGTGATGTTATCTAAATGAATTGTACTCCCATCCCAATTCTGTTTGCCCATGTCAGGTATCCCTGAATGCATTGCAAAGCTGAATGCTTTGGCATTAGAAAATAGGAAGCTTGTCAAAGCAAGATACCTGATTGATATTAGCATTGGTTGGGATGTACCTCTGGGCCGAACTAGTTTGGAATACAATATCCAAAACAGAGATAAGAAAAGTACAGAACAGAAAAACAAGTCCAGGAAATCTTACGACCTTGTGATGACTTACACAAAAGTTTTGTAACCTGTAAAATCATGCTGTGATTGCTGCTATAAAATAGTGTGGGGCCTGAAGACAAGTAAGTGCCCCCCTCCCCCTCATGCCAAGACCCTGTCTCCCCAGCCCCTCACTCATTTCCCTGATGAAACCCCACCCTTCCTACCCCACTCCTGTCCCCTCTCCCCTGGCCAGACTACCCTTACCCTGCTCCTGCCCTATACCCTCAGCCCCTCACTCACTGCCCTGTCGATTCCCCGCACCCTCAGCTCTTCACTCACCGCCTGCTGAGGACCCCCACCCCCAGCCCACTACTGTCCTCAGCCTAGGGTTGCCAGATGGTTTCAACAAAAATACCAGACACACTTGATATTACATCACAATCTACATTACATCTTATTTGGAAAATACCGGACATTTATATTTTCTCATTTATATTTTCCCAATTTGTTTCTGGAACAGAAAGCTCAAATACTGGGCTGTCTGGTTCAAAACTGGACACCTGGCAACCCTACCTCAGCCTGCTCCTGCTTCCCTCCACCCGCACCAGAAACCCTGACCTCAGCTTGCTCCTGCACCCTACCTCCCACCCAGACCTCACACCCCCAGCCCCTCCTGCACCCCCATTCCTAACCCACTCTCTAGCAGCCCTGTACCACACACAGAACCCCTCATTTTTGGCTCTACCCCAGAGCCGGGGGAGCCCACAAAATCCACTAACCCTGGAACACCAGAAGAATTAATCTGTCCTGAGGCCTTGAACCTCAATCTTCCCCCTCCCCTCTGCATGGAGCTGGAGCACCAAGGAAGTGAGATGTTAAGTTTAGGGACCCCCACCTCCTTAGGGTACCTTATCTTGCTTTCTTAATACTGGAGCCAGGTCCATACGTTGGGCAGCAGGTGTTGGCTGCCTAGATGCTGCCTGAGTGGGGGGGACAGGTGGGATGGAACCCACCACCCTGTGCTACCGAGATGAATGTCCTATCCCCTAAGCCAGTGGTCTCCAACCTTTTTACACTCGAGCACTTTTTAAATCTCAGAACAAGCAAAGATCTACTACCCCATCCTTTCCTGGAAGCCCCACTGTCTCCATCACTTGCTATCCCCAGCCCTTATACACTCTACACTGCCACTTTTTTTTCAATTCTTCTGAAGGAAGAGGTTTTTCCAACATTTGGCCTGTCTAGACTGGACCAATTGTCAGAAAAAACCCTTCTTTTGGCAGCCCCTTTATTCCTCGTGGAACGAGGAATACAGGGGTTTCTGAAAGAGCATGTTTGCTCTCCCACTTAAAAAAAAAAAAAAAAAAAAAAAAAGAACAAACACATGCCTGGATGCAGAAGAGTTTTTCTGGGATACATCTGGAATCCTGGAAAAACTCCTGCAGTCTAGCTGTACCCTCGCTGGGTTGAGACAGGATGTGTCGGCTCTGGGGTAGGAATGAGGGATTTGGGTGTGGGAAGGGGTGAGAGGCGCAAGCTCTGGAAGGAAATTTGGATGCAGGAGGACGTGGAGAAGGGGATGCTGGGTCGGGGAGGGGGCTCCAGGATGGGGAGTGTTTGGGTCAGATGGAGGGTTGGGCTACTAAGCAAGCCACAGGCTTTGGGGTGTGAGGGGGGGGGAGATT